TATCACTAAACATAATCATATCACGAAACATAATCGTACTACTACCACCAAATATAATCATGTTTTTCTTGAACACATCACCAAACATTTACATATTTATTTATACCATCCTTTAAAAAAAATATCTTTTTGATACTTATTATTTTTTTAAATTATTTCTTAAAACGTATTATGGTCTAATTATGTAATAACCTCAAAAATAATACTTTGTTTTATTATTTTTGTGGAAAATCTTATTAAGTTGTGTGACTTTATTGAGTATTTTATGAATTTGGTTTGATGTGAAAATATTGGAATTAAGTGAGTTTAATCTCAAATTTAGACTAAAATGCCATTATGATTTTTTTCGAATGAAGTAGGCCCGTTTCGGCCCGGCCCGTTGGGCTTAGCCCAACCCGTCCCAATGGGCTTTCTCAAGCCCGACCTATGGGTCGGGCTTGGGCTTTGAATTTTCTAAAAAAACCCGGCCCGGCCCGGCCCGATATTTTCTCTCTCCTCTTTAAAGCCCGGCCCGGCCCATTGACGAGCCCTACAACTGATGCAACATGAGACGTGGCGTTCCATATCAGACATACCTACCACCAAACACTAAAAACATAAAAATTGTAATTAATACAAACACACACACACACACACACACACACACACACACACACACACACACAAAAAGAACATAACCTAATATGTGGATGCAAGTATAACCAAATGAAACTAACTAATATGAAAAAACATAACCTAACGTATGCATTAAAAAGAACCCTACAAAACTTTCACAGAACCTAATTCCACAGAAACATAAACCCAATGTATGGATGAAAAAAAAAAAAAAAACTAATTTAGCAAAACAAAACCTAACCTGTTTATACCATATTTGACCAAGCAACTAGAAGCAACTATAGGCAAAGCAAAGAGTCCCACATTGGAATATTACAAGAAGTGAAGGCTCCCCCTCACCTATAAAAGGAGACCACTCTCCCCTTAGAAAAGGATCCCTTGGGCTGGGCTTGATCTTTAGTCATGACCTTCTTCTTTCTTACATTTAAGTTTGGGCTCAACCTCATGTACAAATGTAAATACACAATATTATAATAATGAGAATAATACTTTTCTGTGGACGTAGCCCATTCATTAAGGGTGAACCACGTATATCTTGTCTTCTGTATGTTTATCGCTTGCTCAAATCCTCACACACTTGGTGAAGGTCCTCACCTTTGCCCATCATCCATCACACCTCATCACTAAGTTGGGCTCAAAAGTGCCGAACCATTTTTGAGCGTCAACAGTTTGGCGCCGTCTGTGGGAATCGACACAAAAAGCTTCTGTCATTCCCCCCCTTTTTTCAGTGCCCTTCGGCAGAGACCTTCGGCAGTGCCCTTCGGCACCCCTACAATCAGCATCACCTAACTTGCCGAACGGCAATACCATAATGGAGCAACCATGAGGGTCAAGAGAATGACATGCAGAAAATAAATCCTTGCAATATAATAGTCAGAAGAAGAGGAAATACATGGGCCATCCTAGCTTTCCTTTACGTGCCTTACCGTTCGGCACCTTTGGTGAATATTGATGAGTGGGCTTCCAAAAGATAAGATCTCTATTTCTTATCTTATGTCTTTATTTTATTCCCGTTTGCCGACATAAATGGTACAAGTCCACTAATCTATTAGCCAATCATAATGCAGTTATCATTCTGCATGTCTTGCATGGCCAAACCACCATCTTAATTCAAAGTGCCATTCGGCACCTCTTTGAAGAGAAAGTTTGGGGGGCCTTGTATATTCTACATGTCTTTGGCAAAATATTGGGTACCCAATGCCCACGTGGTTCACTTCCAGGAGACAAACAACTAGTTGCAAGCAATCACAAAGCCCCAAGTACACCATGCTTGCCGAAGAGACCAGCTGGCTTGGCTTTTATTAAGGAATGCATGCTGGCCAACATCTGCCACCAATCACCACTCTTACCAATCTGTCAAACCACATCTACATGTTGGAACAAACTAACATGCTAAAAGCAAAACTAACACAGACAAAAGCCGCACTAAAACTACTAGCCCACATCACCACAATTAACCATAAGCTCAAACAAAGCCTACAAACCCAACATAACAAAAACCCTAAGGTAACCCATGAGCCTAGACGAACCCTATCACCACCACCTAAAGAAGCGCCGTCGCGGCCACACCCTCTACCACATCCGTAACAGATCTAGGGAAAATATGATTTCCAGCGATCTACCTACGCATAAGAGTGAACAAATAAATGAAAACAACAATCTTGCCAAAGAACAATTGGGCGATCTGTAGCAACCTCTGTCAAAAACAATGTAGAATCAAATTTAGAGAATATGAGCGGCATTAGGGAGAAGGTTTTGGAAGCAGGATTTGATTGAGAATATAGACTAAAAGTGGTGATGTGGAACTTCAATCTAACCATGGCTCAGAAGAAACCACCACAAATGACTTTTTATTCAAAATGCATTAATGGACTTATTCACTAACCTAAAAGGAAAAGACGAGAAAAGAAGATGGGGAGGAGGGGCAATGACGCTTCTTCCTCCTCCCACCTCTATGGAGTTTTCCTTTAGGACTCACAAAGGGAGAGAGCGGCTAGGGTTTTAAGAAAAAGATTTATGCCATAAGATCATGACTTGACTCGCTCCGTTTACAGTTTTCATTGATAATTTGGTTTGGATGGAGGGATTTGAAAGAAAGGATATGAATTTGACAATAAACTTCATGAAAATACCTGTAGGATGTCTATATATACCTAGAGAAGGTTAAATAGGCTAATTCGAGTTTTTGCCAAAAATAATAATCAACTTTCGAAGCAGGATTGATATGAGTTATCAATCCTGAAATGTGCAGACCTTAAAATAAAAGAACACGCAGATATTTATTTTACGTGGTAAAACCCCACGTCTGGGGAAAATCCACGAGACTCCTTAGTCCAGAACGAATCCACTATAGAATTGAAATTACAATAAGTACTCACACACACTTATCCTAGACTCAATCTAGATAATGTTTACCTACTTCTTTGTAACTCAACTTCTGTCATGTGATGATCTTCGACACTCCTTATGTTGAACGCAATACTGGTCACGATTGCTTCAAGCTCACCGGAGGATAAACGCCACAAACATCTTGGTGCCCTTAACCGTATGAGACACCGACATGCGTATGTATGCAATATGAATGATGAATGAATTCAATAAATCACCAAGCAACAGAAGCCCTTGATGACTTACCAAGAGAAATAAGCGCAGCGGCTTTTCCAAAAATAGATTCAATATGCTCTGAAAATTAATGCGTTGGCCTCCTCTATAAAACGAAGACACCTTGGTTTTATTCAAAACAGGTTCTCTCACTCAAGAGACACCTACGTGACCACCAATCCAATTCACCGAAGACTTTCAACCTTATTCAACTACCACACAACAAAACCTGATGCAATATGGACACTAGTTAAAAACGTCAAACAAGAGACCACTCATACTATTCAAGCATGAATGTTTCTTTTGATTCAATTTACATGCTATGTGAATCGTGATGATGCCAGCTAATGCACGATGTGAGGAAACCTCATGAGTTTCTACTACAGCCAATCTTTTAAAACAATATCTACCTAACAAATTAATAAGACCAATCAAATAGGAAATAATATCAAGAGATAAAATCTAATCCTATTAAAAATAGGATTAACATAAAAGTACTTGAGTGAAAATAATTCCAACTAGGAGTCCTATAATGAATGCATGATTATGTCATTATTTACCTGTTGTCAAGTTTCTCATATGATTAGGTCATGCCTGGGAAGAGAGGGTTGTGCCAAAACGTCCAGTAACAATTCCTCACAAACTAATTTTCAACCTATGCTAAAGTCTAGGAAATGCCAATACGATTTTCATACTAACACTTAAATTTGCTAAAACACAAGAATCACATTAAATTGAATGTATTTGAGACGAGCATTAACTTGCAATTGTAGACCAGTGGTTTAAGGTTCGAAACTCTGTAGTATCTTGACAACGTGTAAGAAACCCACCCTCCCTCAGTATCGCTTTCGAGGTGATTGATTATATTGAGTAACCCTTTTTTTTTTATAACCTTTTTTGATTAAACCATTTTAGAAATGATATTCATACTAGGAGTTACTAGGTATGATAGAGTCCCATCTCTGTCGTTTAGTACCATAGATCATAAATCGTATTGTACAGTGTAGAAGCTTTTAGTTCCTTTAAGCATAATTGAAGTACCCACTACAAAAGGTAAATTTAATTTCCTAACCACTTGAGTTATATATATATATTACTCATATTAAAAGATACAACGCATAACACACAAAACAGTGACATGATAATTTTAGCCGATTGCAAATAATGTGAAGTAGCATCAAGCACTAGGGTCTGGACTTTTCTTTTGTTGCCAAAGTTAGTCAGGGATAAGGAGAAAACTCACACACAGGTACCATGAGAGCTTGAACCTAGAACTACTTGGGAGCACAGAAAGAGTTTAGTACTAGGTTTGGACTATTTAATCAAATTCAATCGATCTCTATATTTATTTATTTATTTAGTGAATTGGGCGGCAATACTTTTTCTAATTGGGCTATGCTACAGTGTTTTTCTAAATGGGCTTGGCT